CCCCCACATTCCCGCTCCCCATCTCAGGAGCGCCACGACAGTACCAGCAACGGGACAGCCCGGTTACCCCAGTTGGGGACCGTGGGTCAGTCTCCCTACACCAGCGCCCCACCGCTCTCCCACACCCCCAACGCCGACTTCCAGCCCCCTTATTTCCCCCCCCCTTACCAGCCCATCTACCCCCAGTCTCAGGACCCCTACTCCCACGTGAACGACCCGTACAGCCTCAACCCCCTCCATGCCCAGCCACAGCCCCAGCACCCAGGATGGCCGGGACAGAGGCAGAGCCAGGAGACGGGGCTGCTCCACACGCACCGGGGTTTGCCCCACCAGCTCTCGGGGCTCGACCCGCGCAGGGACTACCGGCGGCACGACGACCTGCTGCACGCCCCGCACGGGCTGGGCTCGGGGCTGGCCGACCTGCCCCTCCACTCCATCCCCCACGCCATCGAGGACGTGCCGGTAAGCCAAGGGGTCGCCCCGGGGCCCACTCGTCCCTTTTACCGCGGGAGCTCAACGTCGGGGGGAGAGGGAGGGAGCATGGGGAACCCCCCGCCCCCCCGAAAAAAAAGAGAAGGGAAGAAGAGATCTCCCCCCCCCCCCCCGCCGTCCCCGTCCCCCAGGGGAAAGTGAAGCCCCCACCTAGAACAAAAGGTTCTCGCAGCTCGTCCCTGAGCGGCGTCTCCCCACTAAAATATAAATAAATCAAATTACTGTCATCGTTAACAATATCTTTCCTTCTCAATGACAATAAGCTGTTACGATTGGAAGAATATATAATATCACCACAGGGCCGTGCATTTGGGGATTTCTTACTGCCTTGGGAAAGACACGAGTCTGAAATGCCTGTGAGGACATTTAACGAGATCTCAAAAATGTAAAGGGGGGGTGGGGGAAGTAAGTGAAAGTGGCCTAAGAAGGAAAAATTGTTTTCCTATGATTACAGGATTGGCATATGGAATAACCACATCCGAAGTTATAAGAGGGTATGGGCAGATCCTCTTCTCTAAAGGAATTAATTGACAAATCAGGGAAGAGGTATACTAAAATGCTGCCGCCTTCTTTTAGTAGCGGTGCAAAGGGATGACCTCATAAATCATTACCTATAGGTTATCGAATTTGAGTCAGACCTGCTACACCCTATATTAAATCAAATGTTGGGAGCCTATTGGAGGATGCATTATTTGGGGGACCTAATTCTATTATCGATGAGTACAGTCCTTAAAAATTATTTCTAATTAAGCATGACATTAGTGCACAGGCTACTTACAAAGCAAGCCAGGGCTATTGTTCAGTTAGGAAAGTGGCCTTATGCAACATGATAGGTTGTGATCAAAGTTCATCTTTCTGGGTTTCTCCCTGAAAATGGAATTAGAACATGGCAATAAATTTATTAAAACCCACAGAGCTCATGCTGAGGGACTGAAGCTGCTCGACTTGCAGGAGGAAAAAGGAGGAGGGACCTGTGGTATCTGGATGTGATTTTTGCTGAAATGCCATCCCAAATTACAGGATCAAATATTACAACAATATATTCGCTGACAGTTTAATGAGTACAGTTTCGTGTTGCAAGGATAATGTTCAGATGAACTTACCTATTTTTGGGGGTCATTTTGAAATCTTTTGTAAATTATACTCAGAAAATAGTGAATTTATTACAGCCCTCATCTGGCTAAATTAGCCACAGAAAATTGCTGCTTGTGTTTAGCAGTTTTGCAATAAACGCATACGTTTTCCAAAGTGGAGGATTTAGTAAGCAATTTGGATCCGTTAAAAGCAGGTCGACTCTTTAAACTTGATATAAAATAACATGGAGGCAATCGTATGAATAAACTAATTTGTTGACTGCAAGCCCCTGATTGCTGTAGGAAAACATGACCTAAAATGTTCTCTTGAATTCTCCCTCTCCTCAGTTTTGCTTCATGGCAGTGGGCTGATTCAGGAAGCCTCCTCTTCAGATCTATGAATTAATAGCATTGCTATACTTCGTGAAAACCAAATGCCATCTGGTTTAAATCCTTGAGCCAGTCTGGCCATTTTTTTTCTCTGTAAGGCTGAATCAGCAGGCTTCATGAAGGAGAGTATAAAATAAGAGGGTGCATCTTTTAGGTGTATTTTATCTGGTTAAAAAAAAAAAAAAATCCGTTACAGAAATTTGAATTGGGAGGATAATTTTTGAATTTTTCTGTTGCTGCAACAGTTAATCTTTAATAAAAACGACTGCTAAATATTTAAGAAAGTAAAGTAGATGGTTAAAATTATTTAATCATAAATATCTCTGTGGGATTTTAAACTTAACAGTCCTCCCTGTACGGAATATGTGTAGAAATAACACAAATAAAAGTATTATGCCACACTACATTTACTTTATGGGTTTAGGGTGCATGCATAAAGGGATCATATTTCCCCATATAGTTAAAACACAAGAACTGCAGCAGTAGTCATTTCTGAACATTTCTCAATTTAATTATACTTAAATCCAGAAGCACTTTAGGCAAGTTACAAATGAGAGCATTGAGTATAATAAAACCTGTAATAAAGCAACTTAGTACCATCCACCCGGAATCATTGAGATCAGGCACAATTAACAGGAGCATAAATCCAAGACAGAATGGAAAATGTTAGAATCAGTATTATTGTTGGACAAAGACTAGAGAAGGAAGTAATAGTTTTTTAAATGGTAATGCCTGGGTTTTGTAACGATTGCGAAATCTTCTATCTCAGCAGCACTGGTGTTAATTTGTAAACACAGCCAGACATTATATTGCCTGTCAGTTTTTGGAATTAGAAAACATGATTTCATTTGACTTTCTAATCACGTCGTGACTCCGCCGCGCGAACCCCAGCTGTAGCCGCGACCGCGGAACCTGCGAGGGGACAATAGTGGGGAGCCCGGGGGTGCGGGGCCCCCCGGCCCGCGCCGCTCCGCGCTCCTTTGTGCTTTCCCTCCCGCGGGCGCGGGAGAGCAGCGGCGGGGAAGGGTTGGGCCGGGCCGGGGCTGCTTCCCGGGGAGGAGGGAAGGGACGGGAGGAGGCAACCCTCAGAAGCTTGAGGCCACTCGGGCCCCGGGGGTGTGTGAGTGATTTATTATATTTTTCTTGGGGATCGGGGGAAGAGCTGGGAGGGATGCAGGATTCCTGTCGATAAAGGAAACCTCCCCCAAACCTCCTTCCTCCCTGCTCCCCCCACCACCCCTTTCCGTGGAGGATCTGTTTTTTCCCTCCCCATAACGTGCCCAGGAATGGGGGGAGCACAAAACTTCTCCTTCACCCCATCCCACCTCGGCCCTCCCTGCCTTTTGTTGTGGTTGTGTACTGACATCCCTGCCTGTCCCTTTTGTTGCAGCACGTAGAAGACCCCGGTATTAACATCCCAGATCAAACTGTAATTAAGAAAGGTAAGCTGTTTCCTTGCGCATACCAAACATGTCGTCACAGGCTGGGGACTGCTCGCAGGGAGGACTTACCCGGCCTCCCCCCTCTCCCCTCCAGTCCCCCGGCCCCGGGCTCCTTCCTCTGGCATGTACTGTTGGCCGAGAAAGGTTGGAAGCAAAGAAAAACGGGCGATGTGGGTTGAAATCCGCCCTCTTAAATGGCCACGTTTGCCGGGTATTTTAATTATTATTGTCGTTAACGAGGAAAAATGTTAGCAGATGATCTAGAAAATCCGAGCCGGTCTTTTAGTGCATTAGCGAACAATTGGGTTTCATGGTTTGCCCCATGCATCTGGCTGAGCGGAGGGCTTGAATCGTTGTTGGTAAACTGGAGCTGTGAATGTGAAATCGTTGTTCCCCCTTCTTCGGGTTTTCTTATTTAAATCACGCCGGTGATGAGGTGGACTGGTGGAGAACAAGGAGCGAGTTTCTGGAAACTGATGTCTGTCGGTGGTTAGGGTGGTTTGGTTTTCGTTGGCTTTGTGCGCTTGCTTCACTTGGAATTGAACTGAATTGCTTGGAAGATGGTACCCAAATCGTGCTAAATATTTATTGCAAATTTTCACTCGATTTTCATTTCCCGTCGTTCTTTGGACAACCGAAGGATTGGGAAAGGTTGGCACGAGGCATTTTGCAAAGCAGGTTCTTGGTGGAAAGTGATGGGTTTTGTGTTTGGATGCTGTGTAGTGAGAATGCTGTTGGAGTAAAACTGGCAGGGTGGAAGGGGCAGCTAGCTCCTGCCTTCTCTGAGGGGTGCTATGGCTGCATGGCCACCGGGAATTTGGGTACCCAGGCCACCACAGGAGAGAGGGGCTGAGCAGAGGCACTCTCCTCTCTAACCCTAATTGCTGTACAGCCAGCGAACCTGAAGTTTCATCCCCCCCCCACCCCCCGCCTGTAAAGCCTTTGTCACGTCAAATTAGATGTGCAAGGGATAAATCTTAAGAGATGCTCTTTCCAAGTCGACATGATAATTGGCTCTTTTATTAGTAATCTCAAGAGTTCGTTTAACTCCTGTTGTATCTATTAGCCTTCCCAGAGCTATTAATGTCACAAGTGATCTATCCAAAACGGAGAGAGCCCCCCGCTTGGTTGGACTGCGCCCGCCAAGCGGAGCGGGCTAAGGCAGAGGAGAAAGGGAAGGCGGCCGGGACCCGAGGCACCGAACGGCGGCACGGCCCGGCACCTCCCCGCCGCCGGGCAGGCACCACGCTGTGTTTTGGGGTGCCGCTCCTCCGCCGCGTTACGGGTTTTCCACGTCTAGATTTGCGCGCTGGCGGGGCCCCGGGGTTGCCACACATCCTGCCGGCCGCGCCGCTGCCCGGGCACTGCCCGCCCGACACGGCGGTACCGACGTGCGGCACCCGGCGGCCTCGGCGCCCGACAGGGGCTGCGGGGGCCGCTGCGGGGTCGTTTCAATTTCCCCGCTGCGGGATGTCCGGCTCTCTCCCTGCGCCTCCCGGCGAGAAAGGGGAGGGGTGCCCTCGCTGCGTCCCCGCTGCCCCGCAGGCGGTGCGGGGCCGGGGCTGGCCGCAGAGAGCGGCTCGGGTGCTTCCCCCTCCCTTCCCGGCTCCCCGCCCGCTCCTCACCCTCACCTCCCTGCTCCTCCCTCCCTGCAGGCCCCGTGTCCCTCTCCAAGTCTAACAACAACGCCGTCTCCTCCATCCCCATCAACAAGGACGCGCTCTTCGGCGGGGTGGTGAACCCCAACGAGGTCTTCTGCTCGGTGCCGGGCCGCCTCTCGCTGCTCAGCTCCACCTCCAAGTACAAGGTCACGGTGGCGGAAGTGCAGAGACGCCTGTCGCCGCCCGAGTGCCTCAACGCCTCCCTGCTGGGCGGAGTGCTCCGGAGGTGAGGGGCGGGGGGACGCGGGAGGCGGGATGCCGGGCCGTGCCGTGCGGGCGGGAGGCAGGCAGGCAGGGAGGGAGGGATGGAGGCAGGGAAGGAGGAGGACGAGCGCCCACGCGGGGCGGCGGCGCGGGGGGAGTGCGGCGGCCGCCGCTAGGGGGCGGGGCGCGCGCGGCTGGCGGGCAGCGCGGCCGGGCGGCGGGAGGGGGCCCGGGCGCTGTCGCCATGGCAACGCGCGGCCTTGCGCCGCCCCCGGAGCCCCGCCGTGGGGGCCCCTGCGTGTCCCTGCCCCTCTCGTGGCCATGAACACCCCACGGGCACACATATACACACCCCCAGGACCGGCTTAGTGGTGGGCACCCTGCCATGGGCTCCCACCCCATGATGGCCTCACCCAGGCAATTAGGCAGTGCCTAGGCAGGGAATAACACCCAGGATTAATTAAGGCAGCTTCCATCTCTGCAGCCCTGCTTAGCCCAGCTCTGCTGTGAAGCCACAGAAGGGCCACGCAGAGTTTGGTGTGAGGGCAGTGATGCTCTGGGGCTGCCGGCCCTGCAAATCGACCTCTTCTCTTCACGCCTGGGAGAAGCTGCCCCCGTGTCCGTGGCACCTTGGGAGCTCAGGGAGACACCTCAGAGCTCCACATCAGCTCTGAGGCTCATCTAGACCTTAGCGAGGGTCGCTGTCCTCTAGATGTGGAAACATCCAAAGCACCACTCCTATATGCGGGATTCAGCTTTCAGCAACAGTTGGTCTTGAACCTCCCACAGCCATGTATCCATCCCTTGTGCCTAAACCCTTTATTCCCTTCCCTGGAAAAGGATGTGTTGGGGGCATGTGTGGGTGGGAGCCAGAGTAGGAGCAGATGTTCCTCCGAGCCCCATTTCTCAACGCCTTTCTCTGTGGAGCAGGGCAAAGTCTAAAAACGGAGGGAGATCCCTGAGGGAGAAACTGGACAAAATAGGACTAAACCTGCCAGCCGGGAGGCGTAAAGCTGCTAATGTTACCTTGCTCACATCGCTCGTGGAGGGTAAGTGACTCAAAGAGCTGAGAGGGCTCGTTTGGAAAATGTGCCTGTTGCTTTTGCCAAATGGGAGAAGACTTGCTGTTGGGTCATTTGGGTTTTCTTTCTTCTTTCCCAGAGTTGGTGCTGCTCATTGGCATTTTGGAAGGGCGTTATTTTCTGTGTCTTAAAAAAAGATCAGGCTAATTGTGTGCCTTTGCTTTTTGTTATAACCTGAAACGGGTTTGTGCGAGTCCTGCAGACTCAGCAAAGCTTTCTATTATTTATTTGCTTTTAAGTTTCCGAGCTAGATGTTTTCAGGGCCCCATCTTGCTCGCTCATTCAAATGAGTAATCCCTCTGTGGGGTAAGGAGATCTCATTGGGAGCAGCACAGGAAGGATCCCTGTGAAGGGGGATTGTGGGCTTATGAGCTCCATAAGAGACCCGTGGGTATCGAGTTGAAAGTTAGGGGCAGCAGAGCCTCTAATACTTCACTGTTGTTCTTCTGCCACAGGTGGACAACCAAGCAATTGTAAATATCAGAAGCTGCAGCTACTTTAAGTTTGTTCTCCCTCCCAGCCTGCAGCCACATAACAGTAAATCATTTAACTTTTCTGACATCTGCATTTGAGAAATGCGTGACCATTACTTCCTGAATTAATTTGGGAATCCTTGACCTCAGCCATGAATTAATGGTGTCCTGAAAGCCTCAAAGTTGCACCACTGCCAGCCCCCACTCCCTTTTGGTTCTCATTTTCAGAACACATGTTCCCTTGGCTATATGAGTCTCTTCTGCTTTGGCTGGAAAAGGTGCAACTTGCTTTAATGCCTTGGGATGTCCTATGCTGTCTGTGTGGGGAGGTGGAAAGCTCAAGAGTTTGCAGTCATTTAGTTTTGAAGCAGTGGCTGTGTCACGCTGGCTGACACAAAGTATGTCTGAGGCCTGCAGATAGACCCCTCTCCTTTCCCCTTACTTAAGAGTTTGGCTGCATTTTAGACTGGTTCCATTTGTAAAGTGCTTTTAAACTCGGCCTGAGCGGTCCAGGTTCAGCTTAAGTTTGGTTGTGTAGGCGGGAATTTTGTTTTGTTGTCGCTTCACATTCTGTGAGAAATGTTTCATGTTCAAAGAGACGGGGAAAGAAGCGCTGTGCGATGTGTAATTTTTTTAAACATCAGGATTAGTGAACAAACTATATTTATACTGCGTGAAAATTACCGCGTCTTCATGTTTCTGAAAAGGCTTTGCAATTGCATCGACATGCTGTGGTAAAAAAAAATCACAAGGGGAAAACTTGTAAAAAGTCTAGATTTGGTAGACGCTTAACATTATTTGTGATGTTAATGAATATGGAGAAGGTTTTATGGTAATCCATTGTTCTGTTTGGCTTTCACGTACAATGGCTTTGAAAAGAATGATTTTTTAAAAAAACAAAACCAGAGGTCTGATCTTCAGATAACTTAGTGATGGTGGCTAATTTTTGGGGAGATGATAGTGTAAACATTGCTGGGGCTTTGAGTCCCGTAGCGATGAGGCAGTTTCTAGAGTACTGTTATTGTTTATGATCCGCTCCATTTTATGGAAACAAGCTCACTGGACTGAGGCTTTGAAGCTCTAATTGGCGCATGCGTTCTTCCGGAGCTAGAGCTAATGGCAGGAAGCCCTGCAGTAAAAACCAACTGGTTCAGGAAATTAAAACCAAAGATTTGAAAATCAACAAAACAGACAGACTCGGTGGAATGACCCTAAAATTCTCATGGTTAATCGTTTGGGGGTGAACATATAATTATATGCGATCAAGTTAAATTTTAAACACTTAGCTGTTTAATGCATTTTATTTAGAAGAGCTCTAGGAGTAATTATGATCAATATTAATCATTGATGCATTGCAAAAGAATATAGAAATGTGGCTGAGGCAAACACATTTTCAGAGTAAATAGCTGTGAATAAAATGTACATAAATGGCTCTCTATAGGTATGGAGATGTAAATCGAAGCACACATTCTAGGTGAATGGAACCTGCCTGTCTAAATGCGTCTCTTAGTCAATGTGGACTTTTAAAAATTCTTATGTGAGATTTCACTCATAACAATTGTTATGAAAATACGCATTTGCATTACCTTCAACTGAAGCAAAGAAAACTGCAAGATAAGATGTAATTAACATTTCTGGCCCTAACTTTTTCAAAGAGAAAATGTCCAAGCTTTTGAGAAGAAAAGTTCAAGTAGAATGTAGTGGGTTTTTTTGATTTTTTAAAATGGATTTTTACCTCTGTTCGATGTGTACTGATGAGCTGTGTTTCTTTCCATCCCCACCCGTGCCTCCCTATTCAGGAGAAGCAGTACATCTAGCTAGAGATTTTGGGTACGTTTGTGAGACAGAATTTCCTGCCAAAGCAGTAGCTGAATTTCTCAACCGACAACATTCCGATCCAAATGAGCAAGTCACAAGAAAAAACATGCTTCTAGCTACAAAGTAAGACATTTAACTTTCTGGCATGTTGCTTAGAAATAAGGGAGGGGGACAAACTCGAGTTTGGGGCTTTTATTTGTGAAGATATCTGTTTGCTGCATAACCAGTGGCTGATGGCTTTGTAGGTTGTGTGTGTTGGCCCTCATGGTATAGGAGAACTCTACAGACCAGCTTGGTTTCCTCCAAATCAGTTTGTGCAGATTACCTTGAATGTGAATTGTGCAAATTGAGAGTGGATGGTTAGTTACAGCAAAAGCAGTAATTCTTCAAAGCAAAACATCTTCTGGGCCTATTCACTTAGCTTATCAATTTAAGTAGAAGGGGAAGTGTTCCCATTGACAGTAAAATAAAACTGGCACATTAAACCTATTTCAGTTCATTAAAATCGGGAATGGTTCTTCCTGCCTAAGCAGCTCTGTTACTTAGCTAATACAGGGATATTAAAAATATATTTTAAATTACAATCTGTATGCAGTTAAAATGCTAGCAGAGTTTATCGTTGGTGAGGCTGCCTAGACTTCCAGGTGGTGTGTGAAAAGAAAATTATTGTTTTGGTATGTTTGCTGGAAATTAAAAGGGTTGTTTAGTAGCCCTTAATTACCAATGGAGGTGTCACCAAAGGACACAGTGCCAGAGGACACAAGCAGGAGATGGGAGCTGCTTTATGGCTGGAAGACATTAACGTGGGTTTTAGTATACAAACTGTTTCCACACGCCTCTGAGCTCTCTGGCTGTAAGGTGTGTTATTTCTGCAACCATTTGTGCAGTGAGTGGGTGATATAACCTATCTTCTGCACCATGCCCTCGTATCCTCCCTTCTCACCTCCCTGGAAGGAAATTTCCAGGCGCTGGTTAGCGTCAGCCTTCCCCTCTGTGGAAAGGTCCCTTTGGATTTGGAGATAGAGATTTACATATATGAGTGTTTCAGAATACCCCAATTTAAATCCTCAGTTGCCAGATCTGCCCTCACTCATTCTTCCTGACACACAGGTGTGTGTTTTTGCCTCGTGAAGGAAGGGGCCCATATCTCTCTCTGGTTCCCCCCAAAAAGGAATCTTCTAAGATATGGATAAATCCCTTAGCTTACCTTTGGAATATCATAGCCTGTCTATTAAGCCTGCTCAGGAACTTTAAACTGTGTCTATGCTCCAAATCCCAGCTGGGCAGGGATGTGTGTTTGTGGAGAGCATTGGGGGCTGAGAAAGAGAGCAGTGGGGCAAGAGGCATGTGTCTCCATGTTCCTGTTGCCTGCCATTGTGTCGGATGGGGCTGGGGTGTGATGTGTAGTGTGCTGTCGTGTGCATGCAAGGTGAAGGGAAGAGGTTTGTGCATGCTGGGAAAGTGTGAGAATTGGGGAAGGCTGCATAGAGAGGAGAGGAAGAAAGGAGAGTGTGTGCTCAGGAGCAGGAGCCTCCTTGATCCAGGGGCTTGTGCAATCTAGCAGGGAGAATGCATGGGCTTTGCTGCCGCCAGTGATGGTTCATTTCTCTCCCTCTCTCTTCCCTTCCCTCCCTCCCTCCCTGTGTCTCTCTGCTCCATTTGTGCTACAGACAGATCTGTAAAGAGTTCACCGACCTGCTGGCTCAGGACCGATCTCCCCTGGGGAACTCGCGGCCCAACCCCATTTTGGAGCCGGGCATCCAGAGCTGCCTGACCCACTTCAACCTCATCTCGCACGGCTTTGGGAGCCCGGCGGTGTGTGCTGCCGTCACCGCCCTGCAGAACTATCTCACCGAGGCGCTCAAGGCCATGGACAAAATGTACCTCAGCAACAACCCCAACAGCCACACAGACAACAGCACCAAAAGCGGCGACAAAGAGGAGAAGCACCGAAAGTGAGGATCCCCCCCACACACGCTCCTCTCCCTTCCCCCTCATAGCCCATCGATCCATTCATTTCCCTCCTCCCTCTCCCCGGCACCCAGCACCCCAGGCTACAGCAACAGAATGAGCGTCCTTCTGCCAGTCCTGTTCTCTGACTCTGCAGGACTGCTCTGCCCTCTCTCCACACCCCTTCCCAGCATCCACATTTCCATTTGCTCCTGCTTAAATTCCCCCCTCTTCCCACTGCCACCATCGTTTTACCCCAGTTTGGAGCCTAAGAGAACAGAACAGGGGGACGGAGCCAGCAAAGAAAAAAAGTTCTGTCTTGAGTTTGTGAACTTTTTTTTTAAATAAAACAAAAGGAGAAAAAAAACCCAACAAAAATAAAACAAAAAAGGACTTTTTTTTCTAAAAATATATTAAAAAAATTAAAAAAAAACAAACAAAAAGAAAGAAATAATACTTTAAAATTCTATGAGCTTCACCGGACTGAATCACCACCTTCCCTTACATAAACTTCAGTTAAGATTGTAGCCATACTAAAAATGAAAAAAAAAAAGTGAAAAAGTACAACAGCAGCAGCAGACAGACAAAAGGCAAAGAGGACTGATGACATTTTATCAGTATTGTGAATAAACTTGAACACAAAACACAAGCAGTTCCATGTCATATCTTCAGTTGTAGAACTTTTTCCTGTCCAAGGTAAAGCGACCAACTTGAACTTTCTATTGCAACACGATTCACAGTTATTATATAAGGGAATCAGTGTTCATGTATGTATATATTTATTTATGTGTAATTTAATGGGAATTGTAAATATGGTGAGTCTGTTTTAAGCCTTTTTTTTTTATTTATCTGGTGATCTCGTTTACCTCTTGTTTAGTGGGTTTTAAATCTTCCCCTCTTAGTTCATCATGTGGTTCATGGTACTTATTTAGATATCAGAGGTTTTTTGGGGGTTTTTCTCTGGGATTCATCATTTTTAGCCCTATTGTAGCATGTTAAAAGCGACAATGAAGCAGCTGAACAAATAAAAAACCATTAATTTTTATATATAATTAGTATGACATTTAGTTTCTCATTGAAGATAAAATAAAGTGATGTTGGACCCTGGCAAGGTTTTTAAACATGTTAGTGGTTTTACAACCCTTATGTGTTGTGGAAAATGAAAAAAGTTATTTTCATCCACTGTCCTTCTCCCAAAAGCATCAACAGAGCAATAAATTAATACTGTCTTTTAAAACAAGATTTAGCTTTACTTTCCTTTTTTTCCCCCTCTTTTTTTTTTTCCTCCCTTTCTTTTGTTTTTATTTTTCTCTTTTTTTCTTCTTTGTTTTTTTTTTCCCAAAGAACTTCAAACATTCGGGACCACCTGGTATCCTGTATTTCCACTGGCCATATTGGAAGCAGTTATAGTTGTGTTGTATTGAGTTGTGCCGGCAGTAGTTTCCATGCCTATCAATGTATCATAGTCCTTTGTTGCCCAGATAAATAAATATTTGATACGCTTTATGTCGATTTTTTTATTCAGTAGCTGTCTTTACCCAGGCGTATTTTTGTTCTTGGCAGTATTTTTTATTCAGTATGGTTACAGTAATTGAGTTTAACTCTCCCTTGACAATTGCTCCTTGCAATAAGCAGCTGAACCCATTGTTTCCCTCAAGTATAATAAAAACTTACTTTCAACTTGGAGTTCAGAGCAGGGTATCATTTAGATATTCCACTGAGTCTGTATTCAGACAAATGACACAATAAAGCACAATGTATTCTTTTGGATAAAAAATTGTCTGTACTACTAACAAAAATGACACACTATCTTTTCTTTAACCAAAACATAATTTTATTTAAAAAATAAAAGTTTTATTTTATTTATGTTGACCTCTAGGTTTTTATTTATCTTTATATATAGCATACAGAATTATAAGCCTATAAAATTTTGTACATGTAGTTGTCCTAACGGAGAGCAGAGATTAAAAAACACATCTCAAGAAGGACATTTTAAAAAGAATCATTATTGAGAAAATACTGAAAATTATTGCTATGAAAAAGAAATTTATACTGATAAATCAGAGCTGGGTGCTCCCTCCCCCTCAAGAAAAAAAGAAAAGCTCCGTAGTTGATGCCAACAAAATCATCTCACGGTTGTGAACTTTAGTGAAATCTTGCAGGAGACAGATTATTTCTGATTGATGGTTCGTGTTTTAGTGGAATGCACAGACTGACATTTTGAGATGGCTGTCAGTTTGTGGGGACTGAAATTTTTATCTTGAGTTTCTTGTGGAAACCAGTTGTGAAACAGGGAAGTTCGCTTTAAAAAAAATGGAGTGTGTGTCTTGAAGATGGTCTATAAAAACATGTGAGAATTCAGATTTTGAATCTATTTTCTTTGGCCCGGGGGATAAGTGAAGTCAGGATCAGGCTGGATTATGTTATATCATAGGAAGGGAGACTTAATACAGTTTAGAACGTAAAGGCATTTTAAAGAGAGGGTCTCCTTTAAGTGTTGATGGTTCTAGTAGTGGAGGCTGATTTTTCTCTTTCCTTCCCTCCCTGACTCTCTCTCTCTCTCCCCCTCTCCCTCTCTCTCTCCCTTTTTAACTCTTTTCGCTCAGGCAGAAATTGAGGAGGTTAGGAGGGAGGTGTTTACAATAAAGCTGCAAGAGAATTAACATTTATTCATATATTTTGACGTTTGGTAGAGCTGGTGAAGCAAAGCATTAGATAAAGCCCAAGATGTTTCATTTTGCTTTGGTAATCTACTTATGGAAGGCAGTGTAAAATCAATCTTGCCAAGCAGAAAGAGAGTTGGTGGAGTCTAAATTCTATTTTCGTGAGCCAGCTAGTTTATAAAAATGGTGAATATTTTTTTTCGATAAATTGAAAGTGGATCTTTTGAATGCAAAGCTGCAATTGTTTTAAAAACAGTTATTTATTATTTCCAAGAGAGACTGGTTAACCGTAAAGTAGATGTAACAAAATAATGAGGTGAATGAACCCTAACTGTACATATTCTTGACATAAATGAAATGCACAGTACTGTAGCAGGTGAAGTGAAGCATTGTCTATCAGGGCTGTTTTTCTTGGCTGCATCTCAGATTGTGTGTGGGATCCTAACCTCAGGCACAATAGCATTCATAAACAGCAATACATTGCTGCTCTTTCTACAGCAACACATAAATACTCATTTTTAAACGAAAACAATCTTATTAAATACCATTCATTCATATCTGGATTTACAGATGCTTGTTACTTTTTGAAACCTGTACCCAATATAATCGTTTTATACTGGTCAATGTATAAAGCAGTCTTATGCTAGAACATTATAAGGTCATAATAAATAATGTTTTAAACATATAATTAGCTACTTCATGGTAGGAGAGCGCATATTAGTATTCTGCTGCTGGATTAGCACATCACCAAAAACCAGAAATGAAATGACCTTGCATAGGTTTCTTTATTACTATTATTTCTAAGGAAGGATTTTACAGGCGATAATGGCAATCAGGCTGGGTTCGGTTCAGCCTCTTCTGCTGTGACCAGTGTGCAGTTACTAAAATGTGCTAATTACTTCAGCATTCTTTGGATGCATTTTTAACGTTGTGATTTAGGTGCAGCAGTGAAATTCTAGGTCATGTCTTTATGCACTAAACAAAAATCTGTTGTTATTTTCCCCCGCTCCAGATCGGTTGAAGCGGGGGTGAGTGGTGGCTGAATGTTAGAGCGTTGCTGCCACGCCGAGCTAATTCCTACATGTGAACCAAAATACAGCTTGGTGCTCTTTCACCGTGAACAAGGACAGCCCTCCTCTTTGTACCGTATTTTACCCCACCCTCCAAAAATCAAATATTAATATAATTTGAGATTTAACTGGTGGAACAGCCATCAGGACAGCAATGCCCCGCAGCTGAAATAATATTTAAAATAGAAGAGATTTGACATTTGAGAAGTCAGTGGCTTGAAATACCCAGTTGTACTTAGCTAATTCAGTCCTTAACCTCTGGTTTCAAATAAATCAATTACAGTCGATTCCACTTCAGTTCAGAAGTGCACAAGGTTTTTAGTTAATTGAATACATTTTATTCACTGGCTAGGAGTATTCATTTATCCAAACCCTTACATTTAAAGGCAATTTCTTTATTGTCCATGATAAATTCGACTGCATAATCAGATCAGCTCCTTGTTTATTTACTCGTCTTCTATCTCCCATTTAAATTCCACAATGTGTGCTTCCGTTTTCCTCCTTGGTACATGAATATCTCAGCCCAGACCAGATTCCCAGAGCCTCAGCCCTTATGTTAGGAAAATGTAGCTAAAATAACTTGTGCCCTTCTGACATGGATCAGTGTGAAGTCCATCCCAGCTAGTGAGGGCACAGTGATTTAAACTGGCTCCATAGTCAAACGTGGAAGGTTGGGAGTATATAAAAAAAATAAATGGTGCCTTCGATTTTGTCCCATGCACCTTTTCTGCATGAAGGAGCTATGTCTCTGCTCCCTGTCCTGCAAAGCAGCTGGAGCTGTAGAGAGGATTTGGAGCCAGCTTGGTGTCAGCAGGATAAGATTTTTTGTAGAGCACCAGGAAATGAAGTTGTGTCCCTGATCCACTTTGAACAGATACTGGTATACACTTTGTGTGTGTTGTTTGCAGAATCCTGCTGGCATTGGTTTACTGTTTTGGAAAGGAAAGGGGTTAATTAGCATCATTATCAATCACTAATGCTTGTCTAACGTGGCCAAAGAATAATCAAGTTAGGGAACTGCATGAAGCTAACATCTGCTTCATTCCAGTTAAAGATTTTTCCTTATATCATTCAATTATTGGAAGTCCACACCGGTTTCAGGCTTTGTCAGGGCCATAAAGCAGGGTCAGATCGTTAGAAATCTAGAATGGAGGGGAAAGTGTAATATAAATAACAAATGGCTTCATTATTTGAGTTACAGGTGCAAGAATGGCCGTGAAAATGAGTAGGGTTTACTAGAATGTGTTCCTTCTTTTTATCTCCAGTACAGAGGAAAAAATAAATCAGCCAAGCCCAGTTCTTAAATCATTTATTCTGCATAGGCTGCAGCCTCTCCATTTGCAGTATTTAGTTTAGTAACTCCAAACTCCCAAAAAGAAGTAGTTTAAAGCAAGCGTTTAGAAACAGAGGAAAAGCGAAAGTATTTTATGACCCATCACTAGCAAAGCCTTACTGGCTTCAGAATAGCAAAATAGCCTTGTTTTTCTTCTTCTAGTTAAAGTTTCTAGGCTTTCTTGGGTGAATGAAACAGCTGATATTTCAGGCAGGGTAAACAGATATATAGCTCATGATGGCAGTAAATATTTGTATCCTTGAACTGTTACTCCTTTCTGGTGCTGTAGATATGTGACAAATCAGTTGTATTTTATTCCCTCTTACAACAACTGCAGTCATGTTTCTCTGATGCT